TCTCTTTCAAAAGTTTCTGTTGATTCCCTGAATCACTGAGTGTAAATAGTTTTGTCTGTTTTTTAGGTACGGGAGAGTACGGATATTCTGTAATCTACAATGTAAAGGTGGTGTTCATGGTGATAAATGAAGATACCTGGAAAAGGTAGTTTGGGGTATTCCTCTGTCTGCACGGGTACCGAATGTTAGTATTTTGGGAATTCAAGTTTTGAAGAAGTTCATCAGTGGTACTGCAGTTATGTGGTCAGATGATAAATGGTCACTAATATATCGTTTGAAGGTAACGTGTTTCAGTTTGTTGACCTTATACTTTTTGATTCGAAATCAGACATAAGAATATTTGGTGATTACTAGTGACAGAATTAAATTCTCATGCTAAGGTTAGCAGAGATCATGTTAATAATGTCGAAACTCAGAAGTAGGACTTGTTGCGTGTAAATAGTTTTATTATAGTTTCTTGGAGGTAGCTGTTATTTCAAAAAGACAAGTCAAGTGTGATCCAGTGGCTCCGAGGTTTTACAGTTCACACCCCGCTACTGCCGAAAACAAAACGCTCCTCACACTTTGGAGTTCTGAGTGTGTTATAAGTGTGAGGGTCAAATCCCACAATTCATTATACTAGCCCATAAGATAGAGGTGAGTGGTATTGACTAGCTACATTTCCTCTAGCCTAATAGTTCAAAATAAGGGACGGCTAATGAAGCGCAGAGTGTGTGCTATAAAAGTGACTGACAATTCTCACTATTTAATCAGATTAAGAACAGACCAAAAGATACCTTCCCTCTAGTCTATTAGTTCAATATTAGGCACAGCTATACGCAAAAAGCTATGGGCCAAGCGCAAATTATTAATTAGCATGTTGAACAGTGGGGCTGAAGTCCCTTGACTCGTATCCCTTCACCTCCAAAACAAAATCGTGCTCCAAATTTTGAGACTGTGGATGTATTTTAAGAATGATCTGAAGAGTTGGCGGTGAGTGTATGCCTTCTCTTTAGCCTATACCTTTTGAAATCGGGACGGCTAACGCAGATAGGCCTCATGTAGTTTTTCGTGAAATACAACATACAAAAAACATAGCCCCCGTGTAGCTTTTCGCAAAATTCTTAAACAAAGAAAGAAAAATTGAATAGAACATATAACAGTACTTGTTCGGATATGTCTTTCGTAAATTGATCAAAAGTTCAAAAAGCAGAGGTTATGTGTAAAGTTATTTTACCTCATTCACTAGTTAAAAATACACCTGTTTGTTTTCCAAGTAACCCATTTCAGTATTTCCGTTTCTTTTATAAGCCACGATTTCACCATTTACACTTCAATATTTGCTTGGTGTGAAGTTAAGGTAAGAAAAAAAAAAGTAGTTTTAAAAAGTTGTATGTACACAACAAAGTAAAAAGCAGTTACTTGTTTTATGATGGAAGGACTAAATTCTCTGCACTGTTATTAATTTCTGACATAATTTCAGTTAATATTTTAGCCAACTATATTACACATAAACATCCAGCCTAAAAAAAGACAAATAATAGTACTGACTTTTTTACCACTTAGAAAAAACGTTATCGTTTTCGAATTAAGTTTTTCAACATGCTAATTTTTGAACCTTGGGTTTGAAACCTATAAACAAACATATTCTTGTGAAATATAAATATAACAGAAATCTACAATTGTACAGTTCATCTTTCTTGTAAATAAGAACTTCAACCAGATAAACTATTAGAAGAGTTAGCTACCGCTCATTCAATTAGTCATCAACTGTAATAAGCCCCTGCATAACCAATTAAAAGTTGATCAACAATACACGTTAATAATTGATTTATTTGATTCATATTCCAATATTGTCCTAAATCTCATTCAACCGTACTACGCTAAGCTTTCACTGAATATTTATTTGATTCCAAGTTCACTCTGAATTGTAATAGCGTTATATTAAATGATGGAGTCGAAAAGTTAGTTTCAGTAGGAAGTTTTACGTTTTGGGAGGTTTTTTTTTTACAACCTCAGTAGCACAGTAATTCGCATAAAATTCGTTACCTGAATATATAGGGCGTTTCAAAAACTACTCACTCTCTTCACAAAACCGATGGACATAATGTTATGAAATTGGGTATGAATTATGATGACATCATGGTCATTCTTCATCGCATCAATAGCTCACAAGTAAAATAAGTTTTTGAAATAACTCTTCGATGTTATTGCAAGTGGAGATAATCATCATCTGTGATGGTAGTTTGCTCACCAGCGGCTCAACGGTAAGTTTGAAGGCTTATAATGCTAACAAACCGGATTTCAATACTGCACAAATAGCCCAATGTGTAGCTTTGTGCTTAACAACAAACAAACCAATGACAATTTACGTTGTCTTCCACATTGTCGAATTAGTCTACTTACCGAGTTCCACAACATCGTCTCCACCATTTTCCGAATGCTATCGTCTCAATAGAGAAGTTAATTTTTGAAATATCTGGTACTTTTGTTCACTATGTTTTGTTCATTGTAATCAGACTAAAATAAAAAGTAAAAGAACAGCTTTTCTTTACTGGTTTTGGTTTTGATTTAGTTACAGAGGTAAAACATACCACTACTAATATATTTACTACTGAATGAAAACTTCATAATTCGTGTCATGTACAGAAACATCTTTATTTTTTATGGGTTGTCTCAAAACAAATAAAAATAGCCCAATAAGAATTATTTGAACTCCTATGACACTTTAAGGACTTTAAACCTTAATTCTAAAATATGTGCTTATTAACATCATTAGAGTGGCAAGTTAATAAATCTAATTTCACTTTGAAGTTATTTTCAACATACGCTCATAGAAGATTTCAGTCATGAAATAAGTTAAAACCTAAAACTGTATTTTAATGTAAAAAAACTGAGTAATTATTAGGCATGTAAAGCTCACCTCTTCTTTTTGACATCACATTACAAGGGTTTATTCCAAAACAGGTAATATAGGATGCATGTGTCTTCTATGCGTTACTTCAGCATGACATTTTTAAAGGGAATGGCACGCTGCATGCTGGGCTTCATATCAAAATGCTCAAATTTCTGTTATCATGCGATACAATGTCGAGTAAACTCCACATTTTCAGAAGTCAGCACGTTATAAAAGTGATAACGAATTCCTCTATTCAGTTAAGAGTAATTATGTAGACGACGGAAGCTGCTAACTGGTTTCCTTCTCTGTATTCGATAATTCTAAATTAGGGACGAAGAAGTCTGAACTTTGGGGTCTCTCTGACCTTGCTATTTAACCAAAGTCTTGAAAATAAAGTGATAGACAAGTTCGAAAATGACAAATGCCAAGGCTTTTAAATGCAAATTTTCAGTAGCTTATGATCAAAACAAGTTACCACGATAGATCAGAACTAAAAGTCAAAAATAAAAATTAACCCAGTAATTAATGCACCAAATTTTATATAATTGTCTAACTAGGAATATCCCATGTCATAAAACAAAACCTCATAATGAGTAGAATGTATTTATTCATCAGCTGGGTATCTTCGATCCCTTATTTTAGAATTACTCCTGCCATAAAACGTAAAACAATGTAGAGGCCTTTTGAACCATACCAAAGGTTATGATGCGACAGATGCGATTATTTTAAATCGCTATTTAATGCTTCATGTAAGAAATAGGTCATTATTTTAAGTCAGTTTCTCGTAAAGTAAATGTTTTACTTAAATTGAGTTAAATTCGAGAGTTATGATGATGATGCATTTTTTCCTCAGTTATAATCATTGCTACCTCAATGGTGTCTTATTATAAGTGATATCCTATGGAAAAGAATTAGTGAGAATAGAAATAATTTGTTTTTAACCTTTTCTTATTTCTGAGATACTACTTTATATCAAAATTCACTGGCTATAGGATTCGTTGTGTTAAGGTTCTGTGGCAGAGAAACAACTGAGTTATGAGATATTATTTTAGCAAACGAATTATTTTATCACTAAGAAAGTTAGACGTTTTCATGTGTAGGTATATGCGTTGAAACTATATAGGGAAAACTATAAAAAACATATAAAATTCAAAAGTTAAATATGGTTTCTGTTTGTTTGAAGTTAAGCTACACAAAGGGCTGTCTGTGCTCTGCCCACCACGGATATCGAATCTCGGTTTCTAGCGTTGCAACTCCATACAGTTTTGAAATCGTACCCGTTGAGAACGCTGCTATTACATTTTCTTGTTCCTCCTCAGAGTAAAAACAGCTAAATGATATGTGTTTTATATGTGACGCTACTGTATATTCTTTTCTTATTTTCTCGAGTTATTATGTAGTGAGTATTAACTTTTCTCTTTATTTTCTGGAGAAGTTTTGCGTTCAAGAGTAAATAGATCCGTAATAGGAAAAGGTCTATAAAACAGTAAGACCTTAAGGTGAAATACTTGGTATTTTATGAATTATTTCTTTGTTGACGCACTTAAAGGGTTGTATGAAACAATAGAATTACTGTACATGACGAATAATAAACGTTGTGTGGTAATTTTATGAAACCAACCCTTTAATAGATAAACAATGTACTAAATGTTATCACACTGATCGAAATAATTATGAACAAACGCAAATATATGATCTTATTGTAGAGATATTACCCTCAGTTTGGATACTGGAAACTAACTGATGATCATACGTTTATTTAATGTTGAATTTATAATTGTCACGTAACTGAAAAGTGGAAAGTTTTTTGTTTTTGTTTTTCATTTTAAAGCCAAACCCATATTTAGGCTCCCGGTCGTACGTCTCCCTGACACATGCATGTTTTAGATATAATATACAAATTAAATTTAACCCAGCATCATTCAGCCTCAACACACTATTTGTCCTGTCTTATTTTAGCTTATTAAATGATCATGAACTTAAAAAGTCCGAAACTTTACTTTCGTGCTTCGATACTATTATCAGTACTAATCTTCTAAGACTGTAACTTACAAGGCAAAATTACAATACCTTACATAATAGGGTTTATCGCAATGTATTCAGGTTAGGTAAATTTACTTACCTTACAACCTCCAACTCTAGTACACTGATGCTGTATGACTGTGAAAGGAAAAGCTAACATGTATTACAATATGTTATACACGACAGTGGAAAAAGAAGGGAGCATTTAAAATTTCTGTACTAAATATATCACTATTATATGTTTTGAGTGACCTGACTGATGACACATTAACAACATTAAATATAAAATATAAGAGAAATTATCACAATTTTTGGTAGCGACAAATCCGTTGGTTCAGTAAAAGCGGACAGGAAAACACATTGACCAATCAGAGAGCAGTTCACTATTGATAAGATTTTGTACACTGTTTTTGCACACGGTTTTTGCACTACTTTTGGAACGTCAGTTTTCCTCAACTAATTTCTGGAAGTAATTAATGCGTCATAAAAACAAACTTTCCGAACTACATACTAAAAACCAGTAGGCTAAACTATAAAAGTAAATAGAAAAACGTATTTATTATTATTATTTTGTAAAGAAATATCTAGTAAAAGTTTGTATGTCGTCATACGTGCTTTTCTGCACGAGAAGTTCTTGATTGGAAAATGTTTCAGCAAAATTTAAGATCGAACTTAACAGTTTTTACAGATTGATAAACGAGAAAAACTTTCGTAATTTGCCGATAGTCCAGAAACTGTTCAATAAAAATATGTTTCAGTTAAAATGTAAAATCATAGAAATTAATTACAAAGAATGTTTTATAGGGTCTGATGATTAGAGCGATCAACTCGCAATCTACGGATCGTGGTTCGAATCCTATTACCTAACATGCTTTCATTCGGGGGGGATTTATAATGTGAAAGTCAATTAGAGTAGCTCACGAGTTGGAGGTGGATAATTATAAATAACTAGCTGCCTTCTCTTATAATCTATCATTTTTAAGTTAAGGTCGACTAATACAGGTAATCCTTGAGTAGTTTTGCGAAGTTCAGAACTAGCAATTAACAATATTTCGTACAATTTCGTACCGTAGAATAATTATCGAGAGCATGATAATACGTTAAACACGAAGGGTTTGGGGCACTATCATTTTTTAAGCTGGCAAGAATTCTTCCTGAAACTTGGTTTATAATGTACTCTTGGATACTCTCTGAGTTTCAAGATATTTTTGCATTCTCTGGTGATAGACGTCATATTGTACAAAGCTGAGATTATTAGCAGGTATACACTCTGTTATCAGCGGAAGAGAATGTACATACGACGCACAGTTTGGTACAAAATTGAACGTAAAAAAAAGTACAACACGTGCCTTATGGTGAAGAATGTATGGGTTTTATACATAAAACATGTGAAATAGACCATGGAAGTCTTGCGCATGTCCTACATTTGAAATGAACAGTATTTTATTCGATTTGTTTTCCACGAATAAGCTTCTACACTATAGTATGAGTGAACTCAGAATACAATACAGTATTAGTTTACTCTCAAAATCTATATAGTTTTTACTTATTGATGATTTGATGAAAAAAATTTTTAATGATTTGTTTTCGGAATGAAGCTATTTCAAAAACTTATCAAAGTTTCGCTCCACAAGAATTACGACAATAGTTTTCTTCACTAGCTCGTATAATGACTTGAGCAAAATTGTACTTGTCTAACAACTGAATTAAAATATTCAATATACGTACTTTAGGATCAACACTTTATTGATATAAATTAAAACTCAATGGCGCTTGCGCAGTTATTAATCTGAGTTATTTAGCTTTTTGCTGGAGAAACTAAAATATCATATCTAACAAAGGATGGAAGTTTTGCGTAAATAGGTTTCGTAAAGTATTCTTAAAATAGAACTACTATATTATCATTGGTTTAGGAAGGGTATTCAGGATGAAATAAATGTCCATTTCCGCCTTTGTTTCGTTACAGCTTAGCTACTGTAACGTTTACAGTGCGTATAGTTATCAAGATAACACACGAAATTTTTTAAGTATTTTTTCTCAAGCAAAACCAAAGAATAATTATTTAAACTTTTTTTTTACTTTTTTAAATACTCGCATAATTTTTTATGCTTTCTTTTTACTTTAATTTCAGGCACGTTAACTCCAGGTCTAATGTCGGTATGTAGGTTCATACGCATTACACTGTAGTTGCAAACCAAAATTCGTTATAGGACATTACTGATTCAAGAATTCATCCAATTTCCGCGCAATTCAACAAAACAAACAAATTTCCAGAAACGCTAGGTCACCAAATAGTTGTTACCTGCACCAGTCATCCCTAAGTTTACAGTCAACACATCGTCGTCCGCCAATTATTGGGCAAGTCTTGTCAGAGATAATAGTGATATTTGACGTTAGTCTTATAACGCATCCACGGCTCCAACACGTGGAGCGCTGTCTTTTTTTTTAATCCAGTAATGGGAGGCGATCCATGGTACCTCAGCTCTACAGTTAACTAAGTCTATAAAATATTTCAACCTCTGAACTAAAGCTACACAGACGAATTTCAGATGAATATCGTACGCTACCACTCTATCTTATAGTTTTCAATGTCCAATCTCCAAAATAATAAAAAATAGGGATTGAAAAAATATATTATCAATGTTTTTATTAAACATTAATTTAAAATATTTTCAATCTGGCGTTAACTTAATATGGAATCTTAATTTGGAATATTTATATAATTAATTTTAATACATTTTTTAGGGAAATATATGATCTAACATAGAGTACTTTTTTAAAATTCATACACTTTTTTTATGTAGACGATTTTTCAAACGCAAAATGTAAGCTTACAAAAGCCCCCCAGTGGCACAGTGGTATGTCTGTGGACTTATACTGCTAAAAACCGGGTTTCGATACCCGTGGTGGGCAGAGCACAGATAGCCCTTTGTGTAGCTTTGTGCTTAATAACAAACAACAACAACAAGCTTACAAAATGTCTGCCTACACTAAATACCTCACACTCGTGAGTATGTACATTTTACAAGGCCGGACGTACCCGTATTGCGAATTCTATAGTTCATGGTTCGTATCCAATTGCCATCAAAGCACTCCACACTTTGGGCTTTGTGCGCTATAAGAGTGAATGTAAAATTTCTGTTTGATTAGCTGCTTTCCCTCTAGTATATCAGTTCAAAATTTCTCACAAGGCTACACGAGGACTATCTGCGCTAGACGTCCCTAATTTACAGTGATAGGCTAGAGGGAAGGCAGCTAGTCATCATCACCCAACGCCAACTCTTGGGCTACTCTTTTTACCAACGAAGAGTGTGATTGACCGTCACATTATAATGCCCCACGGCTGAAAGGGTGACCATGTTTGGTGGGATTTACGACGCTACAAACCGGGTTTCGATACCCGTGGTGGGCAGAGCACAGATAGCCCTTGTGTAGTTTTGTGTATAATTAAAAACAAACAAACAAACAATATGAATCTAATGAATTAAAATTTAAACAAAAAAAAGCATCAAAATAAAATACCTTATATAATGCTTTAAAATTTATCCAATATATCTGTAGAGGCCTTAACACAAAATCGTGGTGAAAATTGTGATAAAGCAAGAGCAAAAAAACACTGATCACATGTTTTACAAGTGTTTTTTCTTGAGGTAAAAAAGCTATAATTCTATTGGCGCTATTCCAAGTGTAATGGTGCTCTTTGAAAAGTTATAGACTAAGTACATATTTTAAATTAGTTTTTCATGATTATTTATGCGTTGGCAAGTACATTGATGCGAATAATACGTTATAGGTAACAATTCATCACACTTCAGTTCTTTATCCACCTACAAACGTTGCTACTTGTACCTGATGATGACAAAACCTTGTCGAAACGTTGTGCATTTGCTGTTATGTTAAACTTATATTAACGTTTTTCTTCATTACCCATTCAAGCCGTCTCCAGCCATTATTAGTCTCAAAGTGGGTTCCTCGTCACCAAACGTTGCTACTGTCTTGATTTTGGCTATCATAGTATTAAACTTAATTCTTTATACAAAATCAATGGTAAGTGTTAGATATACACTACTATTAAGTTTAATGTGCGTGTTGTGATTTAGATGGTTTAAGTATAGCGTGAGTGTTAAATTTAGTTATTTTTAGAAGCACAAATTTATCGCAGGATTGTTTACGTAAATGTTTTCGAATCATATGTTGTGTAGTTTTAAACAGGCCATTGTTGTATTATTGCGTTATGTTACTAGGACTTTCTAAGTTTTTCTCGTTGTTTTAATTTAGAATTATTGCACATAATATCTAGTAGTGTCTGAAACGTTCTAGGCCTCGGTCGGGCTAAAATGTGCGTCAAAATGTAGTTAGAGATTTAGATCTAAACTGCGTGACTGTAAGTTTAGCGTGTGGTGGCGATTTTTAAAGTGAAACTATCACGGGGCAGAGAAGAATAATTCATCTTGTTAATTGTGTTCTAAAGTAACTGAACCAGCTGTGTGGAGTTTAACGAAAAGAGATGATTATTAAGGCTATGATAACCAACAGTGAAACGAACATTTATATATACGTTTGACTTGTTTTAATATATTATCTTAAAACAAGTGGAATGTGTGCTGTTTGTTTATTGTTGAAATTTATCGCAACAAGTTACAGACACCTACTGTAAAGGATTCGGCCTACAACACCTTACAGCAACTATAATCAACAGTATCGAATAAAAAAAACGACAAGGGCAAAAATGAAAGAATGAAATTAAAATTAAAACAATTACTTGCTCAGTTGTGAGGTTTCTAAAAATGTGAGTCGGATGTAACAGCATTTCTCGCACCTCGCATTTCTAATTATCTAATTATCTTCTTTAATTTATCCAGTTTCCTTAGGAATAACTTCTTTCCAATAACTAGTTACAGAAAGTAAGTGATAACTTAGATATGAGACATATGGCGTGGACAAACTTTTAATGATGCCTGGGCACCACATAGCATGATCACACTGCGGACAGCTCTTTGGTCTCATCCCTTTGTATGTATGTTTACAGAAATTAGTTCATTATGCCTAAAGAAATGTCAAATGCTCTGATATTACGTGGTATATAAATGTATCAAAACAACGGTATTTTACAAACAATTAGCCAGGTTACCTGGTGGACACAAGGGAAGCATTTATTCTTATAAGGTAAATGATG